CATGACGCGCCCGGCCGGCATCGCGCTCATCCTCACGCCATGACGCGCCCGGCCGGCCCGCGCCCCGCATGGACCCGCTGAGCGAACGAACCGAGCTAGCAGCCGGGTGCAGTGTAAACAACCGGCACGATGGCGGTTTTGCATGTAATTCATATGTATCTCTATGTAGAATAGTGTGAAAAAAATCAACATTTTTCTTCGTACACTTTTAGGGGGGAAAACTTTTAGGGGGTCTCGAAAAAGTGTACGCTTTGTACACTTGTGAAAATGTTGATAATTGTGAACGACCCCTTACTGTTGTATGCCTCCTTTATGTAATGTTTTTAGGGTTTACTAGTACACAAGCTGCAACAGTAGGCACCCTGCTACATCTAATCTTAGATCAACCTGTGCACCTCATACAATGCAGAGGTATGATCCTGAGTGCTTAGTGCTTACTAAAGCTACTGTACTAGGGTGAGCAAATACATGTAGAGTAATTTTGATGTGGGAAGGAGGATATCCTATGACAAGATTCTAATGTTCATCATTACATGTTTTAAGTCACACCTTATTTATGATATATGTACAAATCTGATTTTATTATTCAATACAAACCCTTGTTATTTGTCACCCTGTTAGTTGTTTTATCAATTTATTGTTTGGAATGCTCCTACGTATTACTATTATTGAAATTGTTAAAGTTAAAGAAAGTTAAAGTGCAATTAAGAAAACCTGGTGCAAGCTGTGTTTAGTTTGACCATTTCGTATGTCATATATATAAAAATAGTGAGGAATTGTGATAGATTGTACCATATCTTCTGTGTAAATCAGTGGATTATAGCCGGGCGTGTCATGCATAAATTTGTTAATAGTCCTGGTCAGAAACAAATCCCAGACGCACAATGAAGTCTCCACGTATTAGCGTACTACCCTGTTTTGCTAGTGGTGTTTTGCTCTATTTTTTGGTCGCCGCTAGGATCAAACTTTGGCGGGCCGAGTATCTATGAGCGGGGGAACATATGCACCATGATCCGTCAAGGTTCAACGGTCAATGTCAAATAAAGAGTTCATGTGTGAGGCCTGGTTTTCGGTACGCGAAACACCTTTCTTCCCTAAGATGTGTAAGTATACAACGTTCGGTCGGCCGCTAGAGTCAATTTAGGGACGAGTATAGAGCGGAGCGGAAGTATGATGCAAGGTCAAATAAAGGGTCAAATAAAGGTCGTAGTGACCTGTTATTTGGTCGCGCTACGGTCAATTAGAGGCCGAGTTATGGGCAGCGCGAAGTAGAAATTGTAATCAAGGTCACAAGTAAAGGCTCAACTAAAGGTCGCAGTGACCTGCAGGTTTTGGTACGCTGCGCCCCTCCCCCAAGATGTGTACAGAGTATACCATAGCTTCTTTGGTAGCGCTAGGCGTCAATTAGGGCCAAGTTAGAGAGGCGGAAAGGGAAGATATGATAAGGCTCAAGGTAAAGGTCAAATATAAGGTCCGCGTGACGCTTCCTCCCCAGATGTGTAATGCTATACCGCAAGATTGGTAGCAGCTAGGTGAATTAGGGGCTCGAGTTATAGAGGGAAGGAAAATTGTCTGCGGCTGCGCACGACGCGGGCGACGAGTGGCGCTCGGGCACCCGTCGCCGCCCTGGGCGGCGGCTGGGAGACAGTTGAAACCATAGTATCCCCGCTCGGACGTTCGTCGC